AACAGCAGAACTTAATTTGTTGCTTGTGAGAATAACCGCCTCACGGAGGCCGATTAATGAGTGCGTGGTAAACGCTCTCTGACACTTGAAAGTTGCTCATTTTACCTCGAAGTTTTCACTCGCCCCTGTGCCGCCTGTTGCACAGCATCATGACATCTTGCTTCTTGGACTTCCGTGTACTTTATGTACGCCTCGAAGACCTTTAGTCGTCGGCAATCTGTTTAGGTTTCGTTCTATCGGTGTTCCTCCGATCTGCCGATTGTACGCTGTTTGTAAAACTCTTCCCGGATACAGTCATTACGCATTCAGTTCTGGCTGGACACTCGTTTCGTTTCTTCAATCAGATCCTCTTCGTTGCCAGTATCATGTACTCGACTTTTTCGCGTTTCACCTTTTAGGCTTTACACGGCTACTGGTAAAACCAGAATTTCATACCAGAGCATCTTTATTCCCCTGAGTAAAACGTTTTTAGAATTCAAAATCTAAGGCAACTGCGACACTACTACAAGACCCAATTTCGACAGCTCCCATTTTGTCCCATGACAACCAACTGGTATTTAGTGCAGCCGTCCTTTTCCAACTCATATCTTCGGTTCCTTTGCAGGCTCTCATTACCGTCACTTTCACTGAGTCGATATTCTATCTTCGTTGCAAACCAGCTTTCTTAAGCCATGTTATGAGCTCTAAAAAATCGTACCTTGCCATTATCAGACGCGGCTGATTCATCGGCAAATAAAAGTGGTTCATTGTGTCTCCGTACAGCGGATTACCTTGATTTCGTAAAATTTCTTCATCTCTGCATCCGGTGTCATAATATTATAAAATATGTTCGTTCGTCCGAGTGCGTTAAATAACGCATTACTCTTCGAGGATCAGGTCTCACGGTGCATTGCACCGCCCTGCAATATGCGGCAGAATTATGAAGTATTAGCTCCTGCAACATCGGTTTTCATGAACGTGAAGAAGCTCTAACGAACAAAACCATACGGCTTGCGCCTGTCACTGCAGGCTCAGAAAGACCATAAAGCCGTGACCTACCTAAAAGGGTCCTGATACGCTGTTCCGTAGGAGATATGCGTTATTTAATATCATATTCAACAGACTGGCGTGGAGAAAGCGCGCAGCTCAGTCACACATTCATTTCCCTGTCTTAATCCTGCAGTATTCCTTAAGTAAGACGTTAACAATGACATCAAAATATCTGTAGACAATCGCTGTGACGAAAACAGGATATCGGTACATCTAGGAAAACAGATTTCAAAAAATAAAACGCTTCTATCCTATTTAAAAAAGTAAATAAACGAGATTTTTCGAAGTCTTTCTAGTCCTTCTCCTAGTCGTAAATCAAAGCTATCAGCTTCCGAGCACATTACCACCATCAGACGACTACTTGTTCTTGATGATGAACTTTTTCCGTTCACTTTGCAGCCGCATTATTTAAGCCCGATTGCTGACAGGTGTCAGCAGACTACAACTTCGAAGACAGACGTGTACACTTTCCACCCTCTCTAGAAAGACCACCTCGAAAACCTCAGTTTGGATGACCCCGGTGTGTTACGGGAGAAGGCAGTCTGAAGAATGAATCGGCTCATGCACAAGGACATCGAACAGGTATGTGAGGTAACCATAAAAATATCAGTCGGCGATGTGTTGCTTTCATCCCCACTAACGGCCGCCCACTATCGAGATCCGCGTAAGAACAAGGGCGACGTTTGCAACTCAGCCACGTAGTGCCGCGTTCAAAAGTGCTGTGACATTTATCATCAAAATCTAAATGGAAATTATACTTATTCATTGCCTTAAAAAGCCCGTCATTCCTTTGAGTCGCGGGGGAGGGGGTAGCTGCTTCAGGACAATGGTCCAAAGTTTGGATTCAAAGGTGAGACAATGCCAGGAATCGAGTCATTCGGCTTTTGGACCGTGTTTCTCCTGACCTTGGCAAAAAAGTTCACCTTGGGAGTCTTTCCCATGGCACCAGCATATCACATAAAAAAACAATCGCAACTGTCATGTCTCCACAGCTTACAAGCGAGGGTATGTCGAACGACGACGGTGAACGACGATTTCGTCAAGTCTCGTCATGTATGAACCATACAATAATACCAATATCCAGTGTACTGGAGGCAACTGAGGATGTACGAAAACAAGCAGAACGACAAAATGCCTACGGTACACTAAGCCAAATACAAACTACTTAAACTGCCTTTCCAGCAGTAACGAATAGGAGGTGCAAAGAGGCACTCAATGAGCGAGCAGCGCTGAATCGGAACTCAGCGATAAACCTTAACACCGGCAGGCCTGGTTCCGGTACGCAAGAAACGGTATGATCGGAGTTACCCCTAGGGCTTTTGCTGCCGCCGAACAGCGGCAGCGAGAAAACGACCGAGGAAGGATGGTTTCGAACGCCTGATGCCCGTCATGCATATTCCGTACACCAATCAACGTCGCCGGCATCGTAACACGACGCACAGCGAAAGTAGGGTTGGTGGAGTCTCGTGGAAATGACCAGAATGAAAAAACGACTTCTTCCCAGAGGTCGGCCAGTTCTGTCCGTATCGGGTGGAAAAAAGGCCAGAGTGCGCCTGCTAAAAATCTCGGTTGTTTTGGCACCTTGTTGTGAAGGTAAGGTTTCACCTCAATTGGCTGAGAAACGCGCCGAATTCGTGACCCAACAACAAGTTGACAGGAATGCTAAGCGAACGGAACGGCACGGCAATGAGTGATCTGAACTTTCCCATGCGTTTCTGCCCAGACCCACGTCGAGGTAAACACATCCGACCCAAGTGCTTGTTTGCGTTGGTGTTGCATCGTGACAAAGAATCAAATAAAGCTTTATCGTAGCGGTGCCAGGGCGCTCCACGTACATCTGTCAAGTCGAGGAAACATTGCCAAAGGCTGCTTTACGGAGCATCAATCAAGGTTACACTTCATGCCACACCAATGCTCAAGGAAACATGCTCGTTGATACAACGCCTTAAATTTTGCAGCGAAGTTCCATGCATTGCGGTCGATGATTGGCGTGGAATAAAAATTTCGACAGTAACATATTCCTCGTTCAGTTGTAAGTTCGGGGAGAGAAACGTCCTCAGATGGCAAGCCTTCAACTGGTCTCTTGAGTAAGAATTTCGACCGAAGCTACCCGACCGATCATGCGAAAAACCTCGTCTTGTCTTGTCCACCCGTTTTCCATTAATACAAATCTTTGCTCAGTGGACACCCATGACAAACCGGAGCTGTCTCTGACTACTTGGCCTCATATCTGCCTCCGTGACCAGATTCTTCTATTCTGTTTGTAGCCAAACTGTTAAGATTCCGGTATCATGAAAAGTTATCGGTATCAAAAGTTGACAGATATTAGTCCACAGCTCTGTTACCGTTGCTTCTGTAAATGAGCATCGTGAAGTAAGAATTTGAGAAGCAGCTGTGCAAGCATTTTGATCGATGCCCGCTTCACTCTAACGGCCATACACGTGAGACGGAATCCGTAGATGGCAGCCCAATCTGTGGCCGTATCAGAAAGTTCTGTGTTACAGCCGTCCCGTTCAAATGTCCTGAACGAACCTTCGCAACGATTCCTTTTCTGCATCATTGGTACGTCGACTGATGATGAAACTCAGGTTAATGCGTTATATGTTCTGCTCATCGTGAGTCAAATCTAACGTGAAGTTGCGAGGCAGAATATCCCGGGTTAAACGCGTCAATTCTTTGGCATCAACTGGCGTATATCTTCGCACTGTTGAGCCTACCTGATCAATTTACGACAGTGCGGCCGCATAGGACTAGAAGTGTCTCTGCGCAAACTCAGAGTCGCATAACGGTCCTCCATCTGAAATGCGCCTTGCCTTTTATAGCAGAACGGGTAAAGCTGACGCCAGGCAACATGTATTAAACACGCCGATGAACGTATAGTTATTTTTGCCAGCTCTCATCAAGAAAATGTCTTAACTGACTTGCGAAACCAAAACGATGACATGGGTCAGTGGCCAGCCACACCGAAAGCTAGTCTCCTTCTAAACTCCAAAAATACTGCCGTCTACCGCTTTCGATCTTCAGAACATCAGCCTCCTGCTGTCATTTCGTTTGAAAGTCATCATCGAGGCAACTCCTTTCAAAGTTCACAGTTCTAGCAGGCCAATGTAGTTAAATATGCGCGTATCATTATCGAAGAACATCAGATTTTAGACAGGGTTAGTCAGTCAACAGAACGTTTCGTAAGAACCGAGAGGTCGGGGGTTCGAACATCGGTCCAGATAACGCGTATTTTTGATGCTGATATATGAATACCATTGCACGGGTAAAAAAGAGGAAGCAAAATCATATGTTTGCCACGTAGCTGCTGTCGACTCTGCCTTTAAAATGAGGCACTAGCAGTGGATGGCATGGAAACGGGGATCAGCGCCCCATCATTATCTTGACGAAAAGAGCGCTAGAAACGGTGAAAGTGCAAGAACGACATTCTAACGGTTACAAACTTTCCCTCGTTTTTGTCATTTGCACTCGGATTCGACGCTTCTCACCCCTCTGGCTTATACAAACGGTATAATAGCTTGTAATGTGTAATAAATTAGATGGTCATAATGGCTGTCAAGGAGCTGTCAAGATTCGCAAAGATGAGTGTCACGAATATGTCTTTTTACAAGCCACTCTTAAAAGGCACAGATAATCTTACTGTCAGTATCAGTTTCTTCCCATGCTTTGCATTGTACTATACGCAGCGACGTCGTTCGCTCATACTCTTGATACCAGAGATGTAACTCGGCGTGACTCCAAGATGGCCGAAGTAAATTGCTGAATTTAACTCAAATCGTGTGGCACATTCCCGGTATTACAGCATAAGCACCTTCTAAACTTGTGACCCATTATTGCGTGCATGATCATCGTCAATATCTGTGGAAGCCTGCCTTTGGCCAGATCAGACGATGTATGCCTCGACAGTCCTGACCCCTTGTAGCCCAAAGTCTCCAGATGACAAGAACGTCGGTCGACAGACGGATTCTTGTCTACGACCACGGGCCGTGCAATGTCCAGTAATGAACCCCCAAACTATGTTCTCTCTCAGCCAACACGAAACAGCCTCTGCATCTGGTTTGCTCGAATGGCGGTGGCCGATCACCAGGGCCAACGGACTTCTCACGCGGTTTAGTCGCCGCCGTTGTTACCAGGTGCCCTGGTGCTTCGCCAACAACGACACGATAGGCTGGCGAGTGCTGAATATTGACGTTTTTTGGCAAGAAGCAGGAACTTTCAGTCGCACTTACCTCACCTGTCTGAAATAACAAATGCTTGGGAATAAATAACTGGTACTCAAGAGCAGTTGGAAATGTTAACTGGTTTCAAAAGTTGAAACGCCGTAGTAATTGATGGCTTGGCAGGCGTCAGCTGAACGGTCAGAAGCGAGAGCGAAA